GGGGGGGGTCGAGACAAAGTAACTTATGTCAATAAATAATGTAAATTAAGTAAATAGTTACTGATGTTAGTTACATTAAATAAATAGAACGTTATTCAACAACAGTATTTCTATAAAGTTGACATAGAGTTTATATGCACAATTAAAAATTACAAGTTATAAGTGCGTGTTAGCTCAGTCAGTCTCGCTGCGGCGGCGTCCCGTCTGCACGTTCTCTCGCACGCTTGGACCTTGTGGCAGTCTGGTGATCTTTACCCCGCAGTTGTTATATACTAGTTTTCATTTAACAACTATTTAATTGTATAGGCACTAATTGTGCCACTTAAACAATTACCCAACCCTTCTGCTTCTACAAAGAGGAAAAACATGTCGCCACTCGGCAAAAAAACAACTAAAAAACAAGCCTCAAGTCTTACCGAGGTTAACACTCCTCGTAGTGAGTACTCCAATACCCAGGATACTCTAACCTCTTCACTTTCTGGTTCCAATTGGGCACCACCAATCTTCATAAATACCCAAACCACCTCTACAAAATCTCTTATCGATATTATTTGTAAAAACATATCAAATAATAACTTCAGCATCAAATACGGTGGGGATGAGTCGACCATCCGTTTGAAGAACAAAGAGGATCATAAGAAAATAGTCCAAATCTTTGATAACTCTAATTTTCAATATCACACTCATGGTCACAAGGATGAGAAAATCAACAAATTGATCATTAAAGGCCTTCCAGCGTCCTTTAAAGAGCACGAAATTCAGGCGGATCTGGTATTTAAAGGGATCCAGGTTAAATCAGTGAAACAATTTATCAAGAAAAGCTCTGATAAATCTCCTGGTACCAAACCTCCAATTTTTTTGATCTCCACCAACAACAACATCACCGTTAATAAAATCAAAGCTGTGAAATCTATCATTTATCACACCTTCACAATTGAAAAAATGAAATCTGATGACCAACCGCTTCAATGCTACCGATGCCAAAGCTTTGGCCACGACAGCAAACACTGCAAACATCCTGTTAAATGCCTTACATGTGGAGAAGATCACCCGATCTGTGAATGCACAGCTACTATCCTAAAATGTGCTAACTGCAAAAGTGCAGAAGTTAGCTCATACAGCTAACTTTCGACAATGTCCCTCGAGACTTAAGGCCATTGATGTCAAAACCAAAAGGTAGGAAGCCATTCAACATAACCTGAAACACCACTACCACCCAGAAACCTACGAGTCTATAACGAACCCCTTCACGGCAATGTGTCATGCTCAGCTGGCTCAAAACCACATCTTACCCCTCACGGAATCTCAACCTGCCACTCCTGCTTCATCAATACCACCAACCTTCAACGCCACTACAAGCAACCCTGCTGGAACGATCTTCCCTTCGCTTAGAGGAACATTCTCAGCGGTTATCATCCCGACATCAGACAACTCTGCTCGCAACACTCAAAGGCCAGTACTGCTTCAAACGCAATCCCAGACCTATGTAAATGCTCTCAAAAATCACGTTGAAGATGCCAAATTCATTGTTGAAGAGCTGAATAAATTAAACATTCCTACCATTTTGAATTCTCTTCAAAACATGCTTCGCGAAATCAAAATTGCATCTTCTCCACTCGAAAAAATTGAAATAATGAGCTCTTACGAGTATCTTTTTTCTGATAACTCCAGCAATGAAAATGGCTAATCAACATTTGAAGCATATTAATGCCTTAGTTATAAACATCAACTCGTTAAAAACAAAAGCCACCGAATTATATCAATTAATTTTAAATAATAATATCTCTATTGCCCTGTTTTCAGAAACTAAACTGAACCAAAAAGTCAAAAAGATCTATCTACCTGACTTTACTCTACTAAGGCGGGATAGAGAATCAGGAGCTGGTGGCGGTGTTGCCATTGCAATTCACACTTCTCTTAAGTATAATGAACTTCCTCCAATCAAAATTTCTAACACGGAGTATGCACGTATTGAAATCTTTATTAACAACTCCTCATTACACATTTATGTCATTTATAACCCTCCTAACATAACTCTCGACATTGATTTACTCGAAAAAATCCTCCTTAACTCATCACCAACTATCCTTGCAGGTGATTTTAATGCGCATGAACCAACATGGAACTCAACGAGTACCAACGAATCAGGGAAAATCTTAGCTAACTTTATCACTAATAAATACATCTATTTTTATCTTCTTAACTCCCCCACCCATTATCCCACTAACGGGAATAATCCTTCCACCATCGATTTCGCGTTTTCAAACAGATCTAACCTGATAAGAAACTTCCAACTCCTAGACCACTCACCTTCTGATCATCTCCCATCATTTTACACTATAACTGGTAAGGATATTAAAAGGTATAACATCAAAAAAATTCAACTTTAATCTAACCGATTGGAGGTCCTTTAGGCGTCAGATAAATGACGAAATTGTAAGTGCAAACCCTCATACTCACTCCACATCAGATATTGATAATGCCATTACTAACATAGTAAACATCATCACATCAAGTATTTCCAAAAATACTCCATATTATCCCCTAATTGTCAAAGTTGAGCCCCTTCCTCATTCTATTAAGTTACTCATTAAGCAAAAAAATTCCTTAAGGAAAACTTGGCAGAGAAATCGGAGCCCCCTTCTTAAATCCTGCGTAAATTTTCTAACAAAAGAAATCCGTAATAAAGTCACAGTCTGGAGAAACACCTGCTGGGACAACCGATTAAAAAATATAAATGTAAAAAGAAGCAACTCAATTTGGAAAATTGCTAAAACTTTTAACAATTCCAATAATTCTCAAATCGCTTATCTACTAGATACAAATAAACAATTAACTTCCGATATAGACAAAGCCAACTGTTTTGGCACTCACTTTGCCTCCATTCACCAAACTACTGCTCAAAGAGGTAATACCTCTTTTGTCCAAAAAATAGAATCTCAAATTGGGAAATTTGGAGCAGGTACAATAGTTGAAACGCCCTTAGAGTCCCTAACTAACCCATCTAACTATTCTACCTATTCAAATCGTCTGCTCTCAGCCCAAAACTGGAATTAACTTTGTATAAAGGCCTTGTTAGGCCAATAATTACTTATGCCTGTCCCATCTGGCATAACGCTGCTCGCACTCATATTGATAAACTTCATCACCCAAACTAACTTCACCTCTAGTATTGATAACCATCCAAACATCCTACTCAAAAATATAAGCACTACCAAAATCTCAGGTTGGTCTAGAAGACCTAATACCCAATTAATTACAACTCAGTAATTATTTTCCCCCTGACTCCGATCCTCCCCCCCCCCCAGAATTTCTAAACATTCCTTATAGGGTTTTTCCCAATTTGCTGCTTTTCCCTATTTCCAACCCTTCCCTTCAATCTGCGCTATTCTGTAATTAATTATAAACAAATCTGATGTAAATATAGGTATAGAGCCAATGGCTGGTGACCTAACTTCTTAAGCATTATTGATATTTATATACTTTGTACAACACAACTGTATATACCTGCTTATCTCAATAAATACTTGTTAATTGTTAATTGTGTTAGCTCAGTGGTAAGATAGCCTTCTGAAAAAAGACCCTAAAAAAAATAATAGAGAAACCCTTTTAGCACACAATTTATTAACAAACTGCAAAAAAAACCTAGATG